GAGCCCCGAGACTGTCTCCTATAGAAGATGCTGCCACGTCTATTGTCCCTGCAGACTTTCCCACCGCCCCGGGCCCATGGGCTCCGGCGCTTATTGTGATGGTGTTGGCTCAGCCTCAAGGACAGAGACCTGGAGCCAGCTGACAAGGTTGCTTGTGTCACTACTTCTAAGGCCACAAGCCATGCTTTTGGTTCCCAATACTTTTGAATACTCCCCATGTTCAGCCACATGGTCTCCCAGGCTCCCGGCCACAGAGTCTCCCGGCAGCAGTCTTGGCTTATGGCCAATGCCTGTCTTGGTGCCTGGATGACCTCAGTTACCAAGTCAACATGGCATCCGTGAATGCTGCTGTACTGCCCCCTGGTGGAGAGGGTGGAAACTGAGCCTGCATTGCAGAGGGACACAAAGACCTTCTCCCACATTCCTCAACCCAGGACTTAGACACACATCTGCTGGCCCTGGCCAGGAGCTCCGTTGGTTGGATAGTCATCCTGATAGGCCAAGGCTGTGGTTCCATCCCTGGTCAGGGCACATACCAGAATCAATCACTGAATGCACATACAAGTGGTACGACAAATGGATGTTTCTCTCTCTCCCTCAACCCCTCCCCTTTCCTCTCTTTCTAAAAACCAATTAAAAATGCAATAGCCCCGATGGAAGGGGGCTGGGCAGTGCTGGGGGAAAGGTGCCTCGCCTGCAGTGCTTGCTGTTGGAGGCTGACAGCAGTTCTCTGCGCATTTTGGCGGAGTGAGAACCGGACACACCCAGCTGCTCAAGTTGGAAGCTGTGTGATTTTGCTTCCACTTAATTTTCCATGGCGTGGAGGCTCGGAGGAGCCCCCTCTGATGTCTTCAGGATTCTGGGTTCAGGTTAATGTAGAGCTCAACCTTGCAAACCTGCCCTGGGGTGTCATGGTGGGGTCCCCTTATATTCCTGCTCGGTCCTCCTGAGTCTCCAAGCACTTGCCGGGGAGGGGGGGGGGCAGGAGGGTGGCGCTGGGTGTTGATGAGGCTGCCATGTGCTACAGTCTCCCTGTGCTCGGCTGCTGCGCAGGGCAGATATGGGGATGATGCAGATTCTAGTGTCTGCATCTAGCGGACAAGGGGCAGGTGAGCAGAGAGTGGAGGAAGACACGGGCATTCATGAGTGAAAAAGTCAGAAGTATTGATACTGAGGAGAAAATGGAGGCTCAATCACTTGGTTGTTACTTGATAGAGCAAGAAGGCATTTCACGGAAGCATGCTAGAACGCTTAGCCGGGTAAAGCCAGACAAATGCCCAGCCCAAGGCCACTGCTGTGGTGGGATCTGGTCCCCATGTCCACAGCCAGCACAACCGAAAAGCTGGCCTCCACATCCTTGCATTGCTCATGACCTCGGTCTGACCTACCTGCCCAGTCTTCTCTCTCCATCTCCTTTACTAATCCTGATTCTCCACGCTCTTCACCATCACCGTATGGTTCCCGTGTTGTTGAAGGCTTACATGTGCCAAGCACTGTGCTAGGAGGTTTAATGCGTTGGGTCCTTACCGGGCTCTGTGAGGTGGGTTCTTTCCATGGTCCAGTCATTGGTGAGTGAACACTGCCATCCGCAGACCAAGGTCACAAAGCTGAGCGATGGCGTGTGTGGGGGGTGGGGACCTGGATCTAAGGGGATTTGATGGCTCCATGCGGCCTCTGCTCTTGCTGTTCCCACAGCTCCGTGTCTGTGGCTGAGCTTCCCAAGCTCCTCCTGGCCCAACCCGCTGGCCTGCATTTCTGCCTGCACCGCAGGAACAATGCCCCCACACTCCCAGCGGGCGGGGTCCCAGCAGGAACGGTCTTGGTCTCTGAGCGTGTTGGGGTTGGGGAGCTCCCAGGCACTGAGTGATCTTAACCTAAATCCACAGCAGAGGCCTCTCTCCGGGTCCCTTTGGGTACTTTGGGGCCCAGTGCGTGACGGGGTCAGGTTGGGCCTGACTCCTGCCCGTCCCCCCAGGGCCGCAGCCCCAGGACGCCCTGCAGAGCCAGGGGCCGGTCCAGAAACCCTCACACAAGCTGTGGCCGCATCCCACCTGCTGATCTTTCTGCTTAGTTCTGCTGAGAAGACAGTGCTGGCCGGACAGGGCGCAGGAGAGGGGAGAAGAGCCTGTGAGCCGGCCCCCGAGGCCCAGTCCCGAGAGACGGAGCTTACACAGCGGTTCTTGTCCAGCTCTTCCCCGGAGTGGCGCGGCCGTGGCTGTAGCAATGCCGCAGTTCCTGGCGCCACGCGGGTGTTCAGAAAAGATGAGTTCCCGTTTGTCTTCCACGAGCTCCTTTCCTCTGCAGTGAATGGTTTGGGCTGAGCTATGTCGCAATGACAGGACCCGCGACGCAGAGTGGCGGAGTGGCTCTGCCTGGACGCACATGGGGAGCGAGGGCCACTGTCCACCTGGCCTTGCAGGCCATCCACTGGCTCTTCCTGCCGCTCAGGGACAGCCTTCCCGCCCCCCAAGCCCCCCTCTCCTGACCGCCAGAGACTTGTCCCCTCAGGTGCCAGCTTCATCCTGTTCTGGGAACCTCCTGTCTCCATGGCTACAGAGCAGGGCTCCAAACCTGCACGAGAAGCATGAAGCATGAAATGGAGCTAATTGAGGACTTTTCTGGCCTGAGGAGCTCCAGACATGCTTAGGAGCAACCACTTAAAGATTTCTTTAAGTGGAATCTCTAGAAATCAATCATCAGCCAATCAATCAATGGATCAATTCTTTTTAGAAATGTGTTTCCCACAGTCCCATGGGCTTGCATCTCACCCCTGTCCCTCTCCCACTCTGGGTACTTCCTTCCTCCTTCATGTTCCCCCAAAAGATATATATAATACAACAAACAGCCACACCCACACACACACACAGACTTATACATATATACATACGGTGGCGTGTGTGTGTGTGTGTGTGTGTGTGTGTGCACGTGTGTGTTTGCACACAATCCCTTTGGCCTTTGCTGTGTTGTGTTTATGAAGATGCAGCTGTGAACGATACAGTTCTGGGAAGACTTTGTTTGGAGAACTGGATGGGGAGGCGGGTCATGCCGAAACTATCTGGGGCCTGAGATGAGGTGCTTGCGATTGGGTGCCTCTGGTTAACAGGTGTGGAGTGGGGGACGCCTGGAACAAACGCCGAGTCTGCCCAGACTCTAAGTGTTATGTCACTCTGGCCCGTTGAAGGTCCGAGCTGAGTTCTCTGGGAAAAGGACAGACCAGGAGCCAGTCTTCCTGCTCCACCTCCTGTGCTCTGGCCCCTCTCTGTGTCCTCCTCTCTGTGTCCTCCTCTCTGTGTCCTCCGGGGCACTGGACAGGCGGGAGGCTGCGGGGTGGCGTCATGCTGGCCCCTGTGGGACGGAAGAGACTGTCTGAGGGGCGTGCCTCCTGCTGCCCTCTGTCGCTCTTGTCTGAGTACTCCCTCCCCCACGCCTCAGACTCACGCCACGGCGGCCTGTGTGGGGCCGAGGACAGGCTCCCCGGTCCTGCCTGGTGCCTGCCCACAGCCACAGGGCGCTCCCCTGCGGTGAGGGGGGCAGCACGTTCCCAGGAGAATCTGTGATGGAGGCTAGGGCTGCCTGACGCCCAGCAGAACTGGCCGTGGTGAGACTGCGCTGCCCAGCGAGGCCGCAGTAGCGTTCCAAGGGAGCAGGCCCTGGGAAACTGGGAGAGACAGCTGGGTTTTAATTGGGATCTAGACTTCTGACCTGGACTTGCTCTGAGCCTTCAAGAAAAGTGGAAGGTGGTGTCAGCAGCTGCGTTCTCCGTGGCGCCGGCAGCTGTGCACACATGTGGCACACATGACGGGCTGTGGGACGGGCTGTGTGTGCTTTGCTCCCTGAGTGCCCAGGGGGAGTGAGGGCGACAAGAGGTGAGGTGAGGGGGCCTGGTGGAGGAGAGACAGCACTGCACCTCGGTCCCCGTCTCTGATCCCCACTGACCAGCCTGAGGTTTGAGCCCAGACAATGCCCGCCTCTTCCCCAGCTGCTGGGGAGCCCACCAGACCCCCTCTCGGTGGGGGCGAATGTTGTAGTGGGGGCGACCCTGAGGAGGAGGAGGAGGAGGCACTGACTCACAGTGGGGAGGACTAACAAGCACAGGTGTTGCCACCTGCGGCTGCAGGCGCCTGGGCCTCCCTCCTGAATGTCAGCCCGGGGAGGGAGGGTGCAGAGGGGCCTTGGGACGACGGGCCCAGGAGGGGCTCCGGAAGGGACTGACCGGCGCTCAGGTTGTCCCACAGGGATGAAGAGTGGGGGGATGTGAAGACAACTTGTCAGGGGATCTGTACGCCTGGAGGCCCAGACCCGACAGCACCCACACCGGCAGCGGAGGAGGGGGGGCTGCTGGCCCCTGGGCCTGTGTTTGGGGCCACACCAGCCTCACCCCCTTCTTTAAGTTTCCAGGAAGAAGGAGGCGGCCGGTGCTCCAGGTGCGAGCAGGGGGCTGTGAGGCGGCCCAGGCCTGTGCTTCTGACCGGCCGTGTGGGACGTGCCTGCGGGCTGGCCTGCCCTTCACGGGGCCCTGGGAGGTGGCCGTTCCTCCTCCAGGGGCTGCCTCCTCTCCGGAGCGGCGGGCGTGGAGTGGTGCGCTCTCCTCGCCGTGCCCTCTCCCGTCAGCTGGTGCCTTTCCCCGCCCTTGACCCTCTGGCGCCACAGAGAGGCTTTCTTTCCCAGCTGCTTCAAAAAGAAAACAGCTCTTTGTTTTGGAAATAGAGACATGGATGCCGCCAGGGGTGAACCAGAGGTATTTTTAGGGCACATTATCTCTTGCTCATGCCACAGGCTCTGACACAGGATCAGGTTGTCCCGAGGGCATTTGGAAAAGAGCGCCTCTCCCAGGCCACCCTGCAGCATGCAAGGACGGGTGTGGCCTTGGTGGGAGCCCCAGTGTGTCCTCCGGGGCCACGCCTCCTCGGCCTGTTCTCCGGGTTCCTTTTGCTGCTGGTGTGAGGGAGATGGGGCCGTGGACCTCGGTCACAGACCTCCCGCCTCTGTCCCCCTCCCAGGCTGTTCGCTGTCAAATGCGGGGGCTGCTTCGAGGCCATCGCCCCCAACGAGTTTGTGATGCGGGCCCAGAAGAGCGTGTACCACCTGGGCTGCTTCTGCTGCTGCGTGTGCGAGCGGCAGCTCCAGAAGGGGGACGAGTTCGTGCTGAAGGAGGGCCAGCTGCTCTGCAAAGGCGACTACGAGAAGGAGCGGGAGCTGCTCAGCCTGGTGAGCCCGGCCGTGTCCGACTCGGGTGAGTGCTCCCGGGGCCCCAAAGGGCAGGATGGGGAGGGGTGACTGTCCTCCAGGCGGCCTGGCCCACGGAAGGCAGCTCTGTGCTTCTGGGAGCTTCCTCTGTAGCTGGCAGCCATCTCTCACAGTCAGGACGGCCACGGTGTGCCAGGTAACAAATGACCCGGCCCACGGCGGCCCCGGAGACTCTCATGCGCATGCTCACAGGCTGAGGCTGGTGGAGGGACTCCTCCCGCTGGCAGTGCCCGCAGCCTGCACTCAGCTGGCTCAGCTCAGGCCGCAGCCCCGGCTCACGTCCCCCGTGTGCCTCCTCCGGGGTCCAGGGCAGGCTCTTTTCCCTGGCAGCGGCACGCGCACAGAAAGCATGCCCAGCCCTACCAGCTCCTTTCCTGTCTGCCAAGGCAACTTGAAAGCTCAGACCCCAAATCCCGAAGACGGAGCCCCCGGGCACCAGAGGCTCTGCCTGGTGTGTGGGCACAGGATGCTCTTCCAGGGAGGAATGAGCGGGGCCGTGGTCCGTCGGCTTCATCGCCAACTCTGCTGGGCCTTGTCTGCTCATCTAATCCGAGCTCTGTGGCCCCGCCTGGCAGAAGGAGGCCCGCCCACTGTCTTTCCCTCTGGGCACCTTGCCGAGTCCTCCCACTTGGGCCTCCTCCCCAGAATATTGCAAAATTTTTCAATTCCCAAGGGCTTAGGAAGTCGTGTGTACCCGGGGGTCACCACCCTTTCTCACATGGAATAGATGCCACGGTCAGAGCTGGCACACAGGTGTGGGCCTTGCTCACCGAGTCAGCCACTTGCAGATTTAATGGTGACAACTCAGTGGGAGACATCTATGCATTCCTGCCGCCCACCCCCGGGTGCACAGACAGAGGAGAAGCTGGATCCACCTTCCCCGCCATGGGTCCAGCCGCGCCCGCTGCTGCACCTCCCTTCTTGAGGCCGCTGTGGACACGCCGGTGTTTCCGGACACTCAGCCATCAGCAGCCACACCTGAGTGCGCTGAGGCTAGGGGCGGGGCATACACGAATGACAAGGATGGCGTGGGGTGGCAGGTCTCCAAACACATCCACGAAGGAGTCACAGTACTGCATCCGGCTAGAAAAGTGAGCACCAAATGAGGACGTCTAGATCAGACTAGATCTAGATCAGACCCATTTTTCTTCTGATTTCGTAAGCACAACTTAACAAGCCATTACTCTCTCCAGGCATCTGGCCAGCATAGTGCTGTTCCAGCTGCAGAACTGCGCTGCAGGTAAAAAGTGAAGGGGAGCAGTAGGACCCACGTGGGGGATGTCCGGAAGTGCTTCTGGTGATGGCGGCTGATAGAGAGGCTCCTCAGGAGATAGACCCCCTGTGGAACCACTGCTGGTGAGGGGGGAGGAGGCTGGTTCTAGAAGAGTCCCAGGTTCCTTTCAGCTCCAAATCTCTCATTGCTGGTGCAGCTTTAAATGGTGACATTAAAGTCTCAACCAAAATCAAATATATTGTCTGTTGCCCTCGCTTTGTCAGTTATATACATCTTGCAGTAAGCCCACCTCACTGACGGCGGGCGGCTCTGGAGCAGTGCTGAGCTTTCTTCTTTGCCCTTCCAGGAGCCCAGGCAGAGAGGTCACAGGTGGAGCAGTGTGAGCAGGAGGAGAGGGCGTGAGCAGGAGGAGAGGGTGTGAGCAGGAGGAGGGTTGTGAGCAGGAGGAGAGAGTGTGAGCAGATGGAGAGGGCGTGAGAGGGTGTGAGCAGGAGGAGAGAGTGTGAGCAGATGGAGAGGGCGTGAGAGGGTGTGAGCAGGAGGAGAGGTGTGAGTAGGAGGAGAGGGTGTGAGAGGGTATGAGCAGGAGGAGGGGTGTGAGCAGATGGAGAGGTGTGAGAGGGTGTGAGCAGGAGGAGAGGTGTGAGTAGGAGGAGAGGGTGTGAGCAGGAGGAGAGGGTGTGAGAGGGTGAAAGTGGGAGGGGTGTGAGCAGGAGGAAGGGTGTGAGGAGGAGGAGGGTGTGAGCATGAGGAGGGGTGTGAGCAGGAGGAGAGGGTGTGAGCAGGAGGAGAGGGTGTGAGCAGGAGGAGAGGGTGTCAGAGGGTGTGAACAGGAGGAGGGGTGTGAGCAGGAGGAGGGTTTTAGCAGTAGGAGGGGTGTGAGGAGGAGGAGAAGGTGTGAGCAGGAGGAGAGGGTGTGAGTAGGAGGAGAGGGTGTCAGAGGGTGTGAACAGGAGGAGGGGTGTGAGCAGGAGGAGGGTTTTAGCAGTAGGAGGGGTGTGAGGAGGAGGAGAGGGTGTGAGCAGGAGGAGAGGGTGTGAGTAGGAGGAGAGGGTGTGAGAGGGTGTGAACAGGAGGAGGGGTGTGAGAGGGCATGAGCAGGAGGAGAGGTGTGAGCAGGAGGAGAGTGTGAGAAGGAGGAGAGGGGTTGAGCAGGAGGAGAGGGTGTGAGCAAGAGGAGAGGGTGTGAGAAGGTGTGAGCTGGAGGAGAGGGTTGTGCAGGAGGAGAGGTGTGAGCAGGAGGAGGGTGTGTGCAGGAGGAGAGATGTGAGCAGAAGAGAGGGCATGAGTAGGAGTAGAGGGTGTGAGAAGGTTTGAGCAGGAGGAGAGGTGTGAGCAGGAGGAGATGGTGTGAGCAGGAGAGGAGATGTGAGCAGGAAGAGAGATGTGAGCAGAGGAGAGGTGTGAACAGGAGGAGAGGTATGAGCAGGAGGAGGGTTTTAGCAGGAGGAGGGTGTGAGCAGGAGGAGAGGTGTGAGCAGGAGGAGAGGTGTGATCAGGAGGAGATGGTGTGAGCAGGTGGAGGGGTGTGGCCAGCAAGTTCCTAATGAGCCAATGAAATCTCCCAGGAGATGTGCACCTGATCCTAAGTGGTTACACTTTGGGGATCTGTCCCAGTCCACACACAATTTCTCCTCTCACTCCTGTCCTGAGCGCCTCTCCAATGGTAGGTGCTTGACAAGTACTTGTGGAGGGAATGTCTGACCTGTCATCGTTAACATTAAAAAATATATTTTATTGATTTCAGAGAGGAAGGGAGAGGATAGAAACATCAGTGATGAGAATCCTGGATTGGCTGCCTCCTGCACACCGGCTACTGGGGACCGAGCCTGCAGCCGGGCATGTGCTCTGACAGGGAATCAAACCATATTCTTCAGGTTCACAGGTCAGGGCTCAACCACTGAGCCACGCCGGCCGGGCCACCTTTAACATTTTTATCGGTAACTTGGGTGAAGAGGTAGAAAGTGGGTTTATTCGATTCATAGGTGACACAAACCTGGCAGGGAATGCTGGGTGGCAGCGGGCAGCTCAGTGTTCACAAAGACTCTGGCAGCCAACAAATGTTGGCAGGATGGAATCTGACCACCGGGTTCTAGAATTCAGGGGTAATTCCATGAAGGGCTGCTTGGGGGAATTCACTGGGGCTTTGTCGGACCACACGTCCACAGGAACCAACGGGAATGTGGCAACGGTAGGGCTGTCGCCATTAGCAGTGGGAGTGGAGCTCTGAGGCCACAGGGAGGATGGGCTTCATGGAAAGCTTTAGTGATGATGTAAATCAGGGGGATCCCCTCCAAGGTCCTATTTCTGTTCTTCCTGCCATGGAGGAAGTCCAATCCTGTCCTCCGCAGGGCCAGAGTGAAGGTCCCTGCCCAGGCTTCTGGCCATGCTAAGGTACAGCCCAGGTCAGCACCTGGCTATCCTGGCTTTGTTCCCTGTCCATTACATAAGGAGGCCACACGGCTATGCGCCCTGCAGCTGCTTAAGGCCACATGGCTATGGAGAGAGAACAGGAGAGCGCAGCGGTGAGTGTGGGTCACAGAGCTAGAGAGGGAGCTCTTTGTCTGGGGACTTTGACTTTCCGAGGTTTCATGTTTGCAGTGGCTCCACCCTCCTACCAGGTCAGGCTGACAGTGCCTTCTCTATATCACCCCAGCTTCATGGGGCATGCGCCCATTTCCCCATTTGTTCCATGCCTTCCCTCAGGGATCTGCAGGGAAAGGAGCAGGGGTTCCCTGGGGAGCAGGAAGCTGCCCAGATGACCGTGCATATGATGGCTGACCCTCCCCTTTGATCTCTTCCTTTATTAATTTAATAAACCAGCTATTTATGATGATAAGATTCTCTCCTAATCCTCCCTAGAGAACTTTGTAATCTTACAAAGGTATGTGGGTGGCGGTCTCATCTGATGGCAGCTCCATTATTTTTTACGTTGCTCAGAGCACATTCAGGATATTTGGCTTAATTTTACATGATTCCTTTTATGGGGTCACTGACAAGCCTTGAGCGAGGGATTAGCTTGTTAATTAGCTAAGGAAATGCAGCGTGCTCACCGGTGGAAAAGTAAGGTGGACGGGCTCTGAGTGTCACGCTGAGGGTGCAGACCTAGCACAGGGTGCGGTGCAGACCTCGGTTCCAGGCGGGTCAGAACTGTGTCCGGCAAGGGCAGACCAGCTGCCTTGTGGGACGAGAACCTGCTGCCACTAGCACTTTAGTGACAGGCGTGGAAGGCGGGTCTGTGACCTCCAAGCTGCTTCCTCTTGGGTTCTGGAGCCTGTGGTTTTAAGGCGCTGACTGTCCCCATGAACAGAACACCTGACACGCGCAGCTCCATGGACACCACACTCAGGAGACATTCAGCGCCAGGTCTCCGCACTGCGGTGGCCAGAGGCTCCCCTTGTCCTGGTCCATGCTGTGCCAGGGGCCTTGCCAGTGCCACCCAAACAAATGACTGTGGCCAGAGGAGATTATTTTCTCTGGGCTTGTGGGCCCCTCGGAGCCCAGGGCCTCTAGGACACACCTACCAACTCATGCCCCAGCCTTCCCCCGGCAGCCAGCACGGCTCTGTGATTGGTGGGCACGTTAGAGGTTGTCCAGGCCAAATACCCACCAGTGCTCATCCAGCCTATACTTGGTCAGCACTGGGGAGCTCCTGACCCCACATGCTTTTGTGTACGTTTTATTGATTTCAAAAAAGGGAGAGGGAGAGAGAGAAAAATGTTTCTCTTTCATCCATGGGAAAGAATCATGGA